TGATGTTCTTTATATACAGTTATTATATAATCTATATCAGAGATACATGCAGAAAACAGATCTTTATTACTAGAATAAATAATTGTAGTAATTCTCTGTTTTTATATTATAAAGATAAGTTATTCTTATTTCTTTCTTCTCTCTTTTCTCTTCTTCAATCAATACTAATTTCAAGCTGATATGAAAACTATTAAAACACTCTCAGAAACTCTCAACTTGAAGAGTATAGATTAATTAAATTTTGAATGCAGAAGAAATCAAATTATCTTCTACAGATTCAATTACTCATCTCTCTCTTAAATAAAACAGCAGTCATGTCCCCTCTCCCCTCCTCTCAATCAAACAAAACATGGCCTGTGAAAAGCAAGTATCACATCAGATTATAATAATCAACACAGTCTCAGTACACAGAGCTGCATATACACAGTGTGTGCTGAACTGAGAGACTGTGTGAATTGTAAACCAGCAGCAGCATCTCAGAGAGAGTCATGCAGTGTGAGAAAGCTGCAACTCTTAGTCACATATATAGAGAGTGAATTATCACAGTAAGTGTATATACATTGCATGAAAGTAACACTTTTTGATAATACTCAGTCTCTGATATTATGAAAATAGAGTCTCTCTGTGAGATCTGTTTTTACTAGAAGTCAGAGAATCTTATATTCTTTGAGATCATCTTTATATATCTTGTCTATGAAATTGATAAGAGAAATCATTGATTTCAGCATTCTGCTCTTGATATTATTCAAGTGATAGCAGAGTTCATTCTGATCACACTTTTTAAGTGTATGTTTTCTAATTATTCATATTTATACAGATATATACTGATTATTTGTTAGATGATATTAAGATAATGACTCATCACAATCATGTTACTCTAACTGTGAGAGATATACAGTTGATAATGAATATTATAAAAACTCTGAGAAGTAAGTATTTTAAAAGTGCTACAGTTCTATAATCTTGATTTTTTTTATTTTTATTTTTTATTTTTTTCTTTTTCTTTTATTTTTTTTTTCTTTCTCTTTTTTATTTTTTTTTAATTGTGATTTTTTCTTATTTTTGTTTTATTTTTTGTTTTTTTGTTTTTTTTTTTGTATTTTATATTTTTTTTATAATTAAAATTATATGAATTATAATCTATATTTAGAAAAGTAATAATAATTGATAATACTCTCTGTTGAATTTTCAATAAATGAGCACTATATTATGATATTATGTAAGTAAGAAATGATCTCATAATCTTATTTAATACCATTCTTAATAATAAGATCAGAATGAAAATGTGACTAAGAATTTAAACATATTCTTTATCTAAGACTAGATTTTTATTTGAAAAGTGAATCTAGAACCATTAATATTTAAAATAATATAATTTGAAATCAATGTAATGAACACAAACCATGATTAGAAGTAATGCTTTTAGACAATATAACAACTGTAAAGTTTGATCCTGGTCTCAGACACAGTTACATGATCAGTCTATTCATAATAAGAGTTAATCTGAGTAGATAAGCTCTCTCTCTGTGTCTCAATTATTTCTGAGCTGAATACTTCAGTATAACTGAGAGAGTAGATACAGCTTCATAAGAAGTATCTGATAATATACACAGATAATCAGCTCTCAAGACTCTGCTACAACTGTGTGTATTCTGATATTCAGCTCTTTTGAAGTCTGTGTATTTTTAGTGATCTTCACATCAAATGCAATAATTATCTATATTATAAGTATAATACTCTCTACTTCTTTGAAGAGAGAAATTGATAGTTATAAAGAGATTGAATGTTATAAATAATAAGATTGTAAATATGAATTTTCTTTATTAATTACTAAATTGTATTTACAGTCTGATTTTATTTTCTTTATTTTTTAGCTTTTAATAAGAATATGATTTCTTCTTCTCTTTGTATACACTGCAAACTGTTCATCTCAGTAGAAACTTATTTTCTTTATAGACTTGAATTTGTAAATAACAGTGTTAGTATCTTTATTATAATCAGATTCTTAGTGAAGACTGTGTTATTCTGACTTATCAGAATTTATAGTATAAAAGTTATATCTCAGCTTCTATAGATATCTTATCTATCTGAATAATTCTCAAGTGAACTTATTCATTTTATCAGAATATTCTTATCACTGAATCTTGAATCAGAGCTTATAATCTCACTTCTCTAAGTTAATAATTTCTTTGATCTGATATTCTCTTTCACTCTTTAATACTTTATAAATAGAGTGATGAGTCATAGAGTTCTCTTCTAAAAATTCCTTATATTCACAGAGTAAAGAGACATGAAAAACATTATATATCTACAACTCAGATGATAGTTTTAATCTATAAAACTGAGAGTTAACTTTCTTCACAATCTTATAAGACTCTATTCATAAGAGATTCAGCTTCTTACTAGATCTTTATATAATAATATTTCTCAGACTTAGTTAGACTCTATTATCTTTCTTGAAACTCTTTATAATATACTTAGAGTTATAGTATCTCTTTTAATACTCTTGAGTCTTTCTCAAGAATTTGCACACTTTCTTCTGAATATTCTGAATTCTCTCAGTCTATTCACAGATATTATCACACTCTATAGTGTACTCTTACAGATTCATCAAGATTATCTGTAGATAAGTTTTAATAAGAATCTTAAAGAGAGTTTTAACTGCACTGATATACTTTAAGTTATTATATATAAACTTTATAAGTAATAATCAATACACTCAGTTATTCTAATTATAATTAATAAAGTACTACAGATACTGTTTTAATATACTTATCAGATATTCTATCTGATTATCTATCTGTTAATAAAAAGCTATACTTAGATCTTACAAGATCTTCAGTACAGTTATCAGATCAGATCAGAACTCTCTTATAAAAATTAATTCTCTGTCTGAAACAATGTTTATAAGTAACTTATATAATTGAATTGTATTATGAATACAGATATGAGTTAAATTCTTTAACTTTAAGTTCTTGTAAGTGAATATAAAGTGTAAGGGGCCTACGCTGAATAGATCAGTATAATATTGATAGGTCTTATATAACAAAGATAAAAATGTTAAAGAAGGAAAGAAAGAGAAAGTACGAGAATTAGCAATTGAGATGGATATTTATACGTGTATGTGATGGCATACGCGGTGGAGCTTCGGGGTGGAAGAATATGCGCGTGTCTGTAGCGGCCGAGGATCGGTGATCAGAAATGGCTGAGAATTGAAGTGTACGCTACACGCGTTTGTAGCAGCTGTAGATTGATGATTGGAAATGAAAGAATCTATGAAGTGTAATGAAATAGTCTATATGATTGATCAGGTGCAGCCTGTCACATTAGTCTCTTCTTTTCAGAAGCAGTTCTCATCAGTCAAGGGTTACTGTTTCAGATAATACAGAACTCAGAGTTCAGGTTGATTGATTGTAGCTGATTCATTTCATAAGATATGTCAGTCCCAGCTGTAAGATCTCTTATTGAGAATATCTTCCATCTCCACTCAAGCTTATTATCATCTTCTATGATG